TGCAATGCAATTCAATGCAATGAAAACAAAATTCCATTACAGGGGCAGTGCCTTTGTAGCCGACATCTTTGGCTCTCCAGTGAAAAAAGACTTGAATTTAGTTTATTACCTTATACCTATGTGAAACTCTCGTATGGAACCCAGCGGACATATGGGTTTGAAATCATACTTGTTTTTTGTTCCTTTGTATTCTCACTGGGGTCGCAACAGTAATTCATCAAGTAACCATGGCCAGTGATCACTTACCAAAATCAAAAGGCATGCATGCACCTCCTCACTCGTGAAGCCGTGCCATGCCAGGGGACTGGTTTCCCGGTGACACACCCACTGATGGCAGTGCGCGTGCCAGAATTATCAGTGCCAAGTTGCTCAGAGAGCTCAGAGCACCAAGGTGTGTCATGCACACTTTTGTGCAAGCTGCTGTGCTCAGAGTCTACTGGACGTCATCAAATATTAGGTGACAAAATGGTGCCACGTGTGGAAGAAGTCCTGCTTCGGTTCCCCCGTTGATGAGCTGCTCTGGCGGTGGTAATATGCAAATTGTGGATGGGTCTAGACATGTCAGACTTGGTTCCATTGTTACATTGTCCCTGGCCTGGAGCCATGGGTCTCCAGCGTCATCTTTCCGGGACTCTTTAAATATGCTTAGACCCTGGGAAGAAGCAAAGAATGAGCAGCCAGGTTGTTGGGGCTGTAAGCTGCTGAGGCTAGGGCATGGGATTAAAGAGATGTTGTGTTCAACCCGGGGGTTACCTGTGTCCACTTACCTTGTCTGCCAACATGGTACACTGCATCTCAAGGTCTTGTTTGACACAGGTGTAGTATTATTTCTGGCTTTCAAACTTAATCTAAAAGATGAAAAGATGGGAGTTGTATTTTGATGAAAACATTTGTACTTTTATTTGGAATTCTAAGTTCTGTCAGTGATTTCTGAAATCTTAGAACGGCCTAACTGTAGAAGTCCGTGGCATAGAGGAGTATGGCCACACTGCCTCCCTAGCTTTCTCTTTTCTCATATAAGTTTGCAGATGGGTCACCTGACTAGTGCCTAGTGACTACAAAACAAATGTGACGGTCAAGATCTCGTGACATTATATTTAAGTTTCTTTAAGACCATTTAAAGTACTTTGAATCTCAGTTCATTAATCAAGTATTTTTTTGAGTATGTTATAGCTGAATGAGTGGATGGATGGATGTGGAGAAATTAAGTCTCAGATTTCCTGTGCCACAATACTCAGCAAACTGGTTTACAAATATAGGTTGTTTTTTTGTGGTGGTTATGGGAGGCTCAAGGAAGGAATATTGAGCAGCCCACTTTTTGAAAATAGCAACAATGCAAAAAGCCAAGAAAATTTAAATGTGGTAAGGGTCACAAGACTAAACACTTGAATATTTTTTCAGAGAAGACAGCTAGTTTTAAAACTTGTTGAACAAGACAACTTGTGACCATGGGATTGAGTATCTTTAAATAATTGGCTTTGAAGATCTGACACCTCATTCTAACAATCTCATCATTTTCATCTCTTCAATCACTAACCTATTATGAAAAATATAAAAACAGCAAGTGCCCAGGCATGAAGTATATTTCAGACTTTTCCAACCCAGTCTTATATTTTTAATCAGTAAACACTAAGCACTCATAAAATATTATTTTTTAATGTCATCTGTTTTGAGATAACAAAAATATGAGGGAACTACTGTTTGGTGAAGTTTAAGTGATCTTTCACTATCATTACTGTTTCCTAAAATTTAAATATTAACTCTAAGGGTGTAAGATTTCAGATCTATTTCAAATTAATCTGTTTTTTCTTTTAAAATTTACACAATGCTATCACATAACTTGTTGATTGGAAAAGAAAAAGACTTAGAAATTAATGCAATATTGTTTTCTAAAATGATAGACAAATAATGAAGAGATCATTATATTGATCTCTCTATGAGATCATTGTATTTTATGCTATCTTTAATGATATAAAACTCATACAATAATTTAGTTTCTCCTTGTTTAATATTTTTCAAAGTCAAACTTGTTTTCCCATTTCATTAGAATCATGTTCAAATTCTCTATTATAGTAAATCCATGCTCCTTTAATTACTCTGACTTCAAGGCCATATTTAAAAAAAATCAAAAGTCACTGTGAATTATTTTGAAAAAAAAAGTTTCAATATAGATTTAAAAGGATTTCTTCTGAAGCTAGAAACAATCTATAGTTACACATCAATGTCATTAATATTGTTACCTTTTAGATTAACCAAATATTAATCTTTTAAATTTTCCTGTGTAAACCTAACTACAGTGGAAATTTTTACCAACTCTATACTCAATCACGTAAAATTTCTATATATTCCCTGTGGAAATGTAACTATGTGAGTTTCAAAAATTGTCAAGTGTTCAAAGTTTCTGCTTTTGTTTCTTTTGGACACCTTGGAAACCTTATTAACAACTGTGAACATGAAAAATACGATAGAAAACAGTAACAAAGCCCTCTATACATAAACACCTAGCACAGTTCATTGTTTAAAAAAACAACCAAACCTCAAACTACTGTATTTCAATATCTGTACTGAAAGCAATGCATTGTGACTATTAAATGTTGCACATCATTCACTCACTGTATAGTAATCATTGACTAAAGGGATTTGTCTGTTTTCTTCTCGTGGTTGTATATATCAGGAATTTTTTTTCCCAAAGAGCCATGTGTCATATAATATTGAACCACTTTGATATTGAGATATTAATTTGTACCCTTGCTACTATTTACTAGTAATAATATAGTACTATAGTAATATTGCTCTGATTCTCTTTAAAATTGTTGCATCCCTTTTATAGAATGTTTATATTTCCGTAAGGGTTAAGTAGTCTGTTCTCCCTTCTTATATCCTAGGATGAAAATACATTTTTGACTTTTTCTTGATCATTGGCCCTTCATCCCAAGCACTTTATGTTGTCTGTAATGGGATCTATTTTTGCACTGGAATATCTGAGAATTGCAAAACTAGACAAAAGTTTCACAATAGATTTCTAAGTTAAATCATTTTCACTAAAAAGGAAAAAAGAGAAAAAAATTTTGTATTGTCTATAACTTTATATGAAGTATTAAAGGCCTATTTCTATGTTGTAATGAGTCACGAAATAAAGCTGTGACAGTTCTTTCGGTCCAGACAAAATTTATTTTCATGCATTCGTAGCACCACCTACTGTTAAAGCTATTTGGCTCAAAAGTAGAAATTTCTGAAAAGGGTAAATGTCCTGTGAATCCCAAAAAAAGAACTGAGGGGACCACCTGGAAATTTTAAAAAGGGTGTTTTGCAGTTTTCCTGAATCAGTTAAGAAAATAACTGATACTAAGTTTGAAAGGTTTTTAGATAAACTTACTCTGCTTAATGATTATGAAGCTGGGGTGATCTCTGAAAATACTCTGTAGAGCTAAGCCTATTTAATAAAAATCTCATTTCTTCATTTGGGATTGAGGAAGCTGCAAAGGCAGCCTTCAGTGCTTTTTTGCTTATTTAACCAAAAATACAAGGACACAGTATAGCAAGTGTACTGGTGCTGAGCATGGTGGCAAGGGGAGGCGTGCAGGGAAGGTAGAAAAGTGTGGGCGGAGAGATGGTACTGAGACTAATACCAGAGGTGCCTTTCCTCAAATCTGTAGGAAGTGCTCTGCAGTCTATGCCCGATTATGTAATGCTCCGATGAGACATGTGGATATACTTTTCACAGCTAATTAACAATCAGACTCGGAAACGATACCTGTTTATTGCAGTATTTGAAGAACACCTGTCCAACAGCCCCTATTAGGCAGTACAGTGGAGTTGTGGCTGTATTTGTGACCTCTTCTGAGCGGCTGTGACAACGCCTAGTGAGTCGTCCATTGCCTAAGGTATGGACCTTAGCTTGGTGTGTGCCTGGCTGACCACTGGCATCAGCATCACAATTTAGTCCTTCCCCCTGGAAGTTCACGTTACAGTGACTTCAATGAAACGGGTAGAAAACTGTTTCTTTGTGAAAACTCACAACTGAAGGAGGGAAAAAAATTAGCACACACATGGTACTTAATTAAGCCTTGGGACCAAATTAGCTTAACTAGAGAGAGAAGAATACCCTTGAGCCCTGAGACCCTACCACATTTAGATGAGAAGCCAGCAAAGGAAACAGAGGGGGACTGGCCAGTGAGGATGAGGAAAATCTAAGAATATGATGCCATAGACTGACCCTCAGATTCGAGTGTTTCAGGAAGGCGGATGTGGTCAACTATCCAACACTGCTGAGAAGATGAACAGGGTAAAGGCAGTGAGAGACCACTGAATTTGGTAAGACAAAGGTCCTTAGTGACCCTCCAACGAGTCACTTCAGTGGACTGACAAGGATATAGGCCTACCGGGATTGGCTCAGGGAAGTTCAAGAGGTAAGGAAGGGAAGATGGTGAATATACACAACTTACAGAGTTCTGCTTTCATGGGAAGCAGGAAACACAATAGCTGGATTACAAAAGTTTGATTTGGATTCTTGTCTGTTAATAGTATGTATAGGCTGCACCTGCAAACCATCTCACCTTCCTCTCTGATTTGTTTGTTTGTTTGTTTGTTTTTTAAGCCTTTAAAAATTTTTTCTGTCAGGAGCCTTACACACTGTACGTTGTTATCCAAATTCCCCTTAGGGAATTCATCATTTACTCTTTTGCATTTACAATGTATTTTAGAAATGGAAAATAATATAGCTGTAAATACAGACTATCAAGAGATCTTGGAAGTACCAAACGTAGTTTTAGAAGGCAGAGGCACTCAATTAAAATGGAAATTAAAGATGTTTAAAGGAAAACCTTGGCATGTCTGTGGTGGTACTAAAGAAACTCTCCTTTTGGGATTACTATCATGCCATTTTCTTAATGTAACAACATTTGCAATAAAGTTGCTAAATTATTAATGTGTCACTACCTTGTGGCAACACAATAAAGACTCCAGAGAAGATAATATAAATATAAAATGCAAAAAAAAAATTCATAATGGATACGTAGGCTTTTATTAGGGTTTCCATAACCACAAAATCTCTTTAAAACAAATAGATGTCCCAGTATCTTTGTTAAATAGCGATCCAAAATGAACAAAAGTTAATCAAATAAACTACAAATGAACACATTTCAGCACATAAAACAGGTCTTCTGAAGTTTTTTTTACCATTGAGGCCTAATTACATTATTTTCCAAGTTATAGTGACTAATAATGTGAAAACCATAATTAATACAGATGACATAGGTGATACTGTACTTTCTCAAGGTAAAAAGATATATTTGGTTCTAATCCTTATGAATCCCAGTTGATATCACAAAATATATTTTACTGTACAAAATTTCTTTTAAATCTCAAAAAGCAGACATAATGAAAATAGAGACATTGCATGGAAATAATTGTAAAAATTGTCAGGCACAGAGTGTAGAAACACTATTAAAATATATGAGAATGCTATAAAGCCAAGGTTGTCAAAATAGAGAATAAGAGAGATTCTGAAAGAAACGAAAACTCAATATCATGAAGTCGTGGCAGCTATCTCTAATATTATCACAGCTACTGAAATGCCATAGGGAAAATGAGCAGAGCTATTTCCTGAGGTGGTAATGACAAAAAACACAGGTGGCTCACACATGCAGACCCATCTCGAATTAACCAGCTACTTCAGATAAAAGGGAGACCCTTTTGGGAGAATTTAAGCAGCATCAGCAGACACATCTTATGGCCATTCATGAAATGCTTCTTACTTCAGTGGAAAACTATTTCAGTGGTGAAAATGACGTGGGAATCAGAAACATATTCTGCTGAGACACGAGGTAATTGGCACTTTCCCGCACTGGAAAAAAAAAAACCACATTATATCAGAAGGCATCTGAAGTTATTGACTAAATCCAATGAGTCCTAGGAGTAATCCATGCCTCATGAAGCGGCTTACCAGCTGCCACGACTCTGGGGTCCTCGTGGGACTGAAGTCTCCCGGCTGCACGGCTGTCGGCACTCTCACTCCACCAAAGCACGTGGACTGCAGACATAAACCAAAATTAGATTCGTAAGCCCAGGGCATACGACAAGTAGGGAATACTGAAAAATTAATCGGAAATGGTAAGGCTTATTCTTTAAATCGAATAGCCAGTACGAAAAGGTAAAACGAAGTATGTTAGTGGTAAGATTTCAGAGGGGTCAGAGAGTTGAGAGAGAGATTTATAAATAACCCAACTGGCTTTATAGATGAAGAAATAAATGGGAGGCTGGAGAGGGGAAGTAAAATTATGCAGCTAAAGACACAATCAAACCTAGACCCAGGTTTAATTAAGTTCTACTACGTTTTACTTGTCTTTCAAAAAAGGAAGATTATAAAAAATTGTGCTTACTACTAAAAATTTGGATGATACACAGAAGAAAACAAAAAGTAGCATAATCTTAGCTGCCCAGAGAAATCCTCTATTAATATTTAGTGTATTTTCTTTAAAAAATTATGAGTAAAATATAATTAGGGTCTTACTGATGCATGTTGTATGTGATGTACACATATGTGTTATGTACATACCTTGTATCATACCAAATCGTTTCCTTATTGTAAACAATGCTGACATAAACTTCCCTAGAGCAGCACAGACGTATGTATTCATAATAATAATGTTGAAGACAACTACTACTAACATATTTTGGGAGCTTTCTATGTGCCAGGCCTGCTTCAAAGCATTTTGCATGATTTAATTCATTTAGTCTTCATAATAATCCTAGCTGGTAGGTTATTATTATCATTTTATCAGTGAGCACTGTAAGGCACAGTAAGATTAAGTAGCTCACTCAACATCACACTGTTTTAAGTGGCAGAGCTATTTCAAACCTAAGCAGTCCAGTCTGGATCTGATTATTTCCTCTAAATAAACCGCTAAAATTCAAACTGAGAGGACCAAGGAGTACAGCTTATATATACTTACATATGTACAGTATACATATTATACACTGTCCTCTAGAAATACTTTTTCTTTCAGAGACAATCTCTCTACCCCAAGTAATGTTATTTTTTAAAAACCAATAAAAAGTATACTAAGACGGAAAAAAAGATAAAAAGAACAGATCATTTTCTCGACGCTCTTTGCAGATTTTATCATTTTGATGTATCATGGAAAACAGCAGTTCAGCATTTGAAAATGGCTTCAAAAGGTGTTAACATTCTCAATAAATAAGAAGCAAAAGAGGTTTTTTTCAACCCTTAAAATTATTTTTAAAATCCCTGAAATTTGGCAATAAAAATTAATGTGCCATAAAGAAAACGAGAGACAAACTAACCGAAGGAATTTAGTAGTTCGCCAACATAGTTTGCAATTTCATAGACTGAATGGACAACTGTACCTCTGTTGAGTGCTCCATATTCTGTGTGGAAGACTCCTACTAGTTTCGAGTAGCCTAGACTGATATGGGCATGGATTACCCTTTTAAACGCGTCGCCCCACAGAGCTGGCCCACCTGGTTTCATTTGAAAAGTGACCAGCTCATAGACTCCTGGAGTAGGGAGAAAAATAATTATTTTACAAGAGATAATTCAAGAAATTTCTAATCATGTTGCTATGGTTCCAGTGGAAGGCTAATGTACACATACAAATATGGAGGATCATATGTACACATGTTTATATGGACATATTTATGAATTCTTTGCATTATTTCTCCTTGCTTTTGTTTATGAAGTCCTTGTCCATGTTTAAGGGTCAGTTTTTAAGCTTGTCATACAAAACAAAAAGGAAGCTGTATCTAGCTATTATCTGAAACATTTTTAATCTATAAAGTTTGTCAATAAAACAAATACTGAGAACTCATAATAGGATTAGGATTTTTGAGCTGCCCGAGTCTACACTTTTAGTAGAAAATGAGTAAGAAACGTGTTTTCTGATCTGTATTTCCTTCTTTCCAATTTTGAGAGGAAATACTTTTTTTTTTTGTATTATTTCTCCCTATAGGATTCCATTTCTAATAGGAACAGCAAGCACACAATGGACCCAAAGCGATATATCTGAGATTTTGAGGGAAAAAAAACAAAAACAAAAAAAAACCCCTAAAAACTGAAGGAGATGGTTTTATTATTCCTACATACCCAGGTCAACACTTGAAAAGCATTTTACCTTCAAACAGAAATAAGAAAGAGGAATATAAAAAAGTTAAACTATAGTAACAGAATGTAACAGTTTAATTCATTCCCCCCCCCCAGTCTCACAAGCAAAGATATACTTAATGTCTTAAGTCAGCTATAATTTGTGTAAAAAAATACTATGACAAAATTTCATACACTACCCTTCACCTACCTATAATGTTTTCTCTGCTCCAAATCCCCAACTTTTCAATTTTTCCTCCCAGGTCAACTTTTTATATTCGTACCTAAACTTGAAGAGCTTTTCCAAGGTGAAAAAACATTATTTAATGCTCGTTGTTTTAATGATAAGCCAAAAGCTCAATGCATTTTCATCTCTATAATCACAATATATTCCTACCTGAAACAAAAGAAAATTTTATCCTTTTTCTTTGGAACTTTAGTTTTTATCGCTTTAAAATGCTTAGTATTTTCTTCATCAACATTCAAAGTGACTAAGCGGGAAGGGCTTACCTTCTTTTGCAGGCTTTTCTAATTTGCACCATGGCACCAGGTAAGTAACCTCACTCTCTTGTTTATCAATGAGAGCCAAATTTGGAATGAGAAATTGTTCTTGCCATTCCCTATCTTTGGCCAAGGCTTTCCGAACTTCAGTTCGATGAGCAAAATTATCTACGGGAAGAAAAGGAGGAAGAAAAATAAAAGTTTTTTGTTTTTCAAATCATCTAGACCTTTTTTTGGAGTTCATTCAATTCAGCAAATGTTCATTGAGGCCACCTAAGAACACTGTGTTATATCACTGGAGATACTGAAAAAAAAAAAAAAACAGGTGTGACATCTTTCCCCACCTATCTCATGGTCTAAAAGGGGAGTAGGGATGTATACAACTAATGATAATGTCATATGGTGGGCTTTATGAGCTGTACTACTTAGTAGGTAGTTGTGTGACTGGTAAGTTACTGTGTAAGTTACTGGTAAGAAGCTGTGTCTGTTTCTTACTCTGGGAAATGAGGACAGTGATATAGTATTTATACCTCCAGGGTTGTTGTAAAGATTAAATAAATTAGTACATGAAAGGAGTTTAGAGTGTTTGGCACCTAGTTAGTACTCAATGTATGTTAACTATTCCTACTAATTTAATAAATTTAAATTATAGAGCCAGTTTTGAAAATGAGTATGTATTTTTCTTTGGTGGTGATGGTGGTCAGGTCAAAGTTCACCTTGAATTAAATTCAACATAAATTAAGATGTACATTTACAGCATCCTTTTCTTTGAACAAACAGCTTCCAAAGAAATAGTGCTGATTCTCTTATTTATTATCACCCATTCTTTTTACCCAGCACTATTTCTCTTCTGTTTGTTACACAAACAGGTATATATAATACATTTACTAACAAATGGGCTTAGTACTGTATTACTTGTAGGGCCTCATAAGACTGACAGTAAAAGAGTTTTCTATGATTTATGCTGTAGATAAGGAATAACACCTATCTTATTGCTTAAATAAGTTATACCAGGACTTTACTAGTAATTTTTTTTTTTTTTTTAGCTGAGCCATCCTGCTACCTGTTGGCAGCTCAGCGGCTGCTCAGCTCGGGCTGGACTCGAACCGCTGTTGCTCAGAGCTCAAACTCTTGAGGGAGCTCTTAACCAACTGAGCCACTCGGCCGGCCCCATTAGTAATTTTTTTAATGGGACATGATTCTACCTTATTGCACATGATTGCACATTAAAGCATAAATTGTGTTTAAATTAGATTTGTTTTATACCAACAGGGAAAACCCCTAAACTATGGCCATGTTAAGTACAGAATGAGAGCACCTTTCATATTAAATAAAGTACTTTATATGACCAAATACTAAATGAAATTATTAAAAGTTCTCTGGATATCATCAAGTCCTGATGTGGACTTCACAAAGATTTGACACTGGAGTAACAAATACTCTGGGGATTGCTGTTACCTATTCTCCTTCCTCTACTAAAATAGGGGTAGCTCAGCTTCAGTATGGGGACAACTCTAATTCCTTTACCTTTCTGGAGAGCAGCATAATGACAATGAATTCCCTGAAACCCTGCGGTGCACAAATGAAACAAAAGTGGTTCCCTAAACACAACAAATTATTAAATCTCAGAACTGGGTGATGCCTAGAAGTTAACCATCATCCTTATCAATTTAACTGCCCTCAGGCCCCAACTGTTTCCACAAAAATCCTGATATCCAGCCGTAGCTTCAACAGTAAGTACAAACAATTCTTTCCTCCTTTTATGATCTTAACCCGCTGGGGCTCTTACAATTGCTGCTTTAAATTTTTCATAAATCATCTTTATAATAAACCGTTCTCTAACTTTTCTGAGAATTAAAATCTAGTTCACAATTTTATTATTTGAAATAAGAGATGCCATTTATGATAATATAAGGATTTGAGCAAGGGGTTGTCAGAGCTATACCATTGGGAGGAGTAACCAATGGATTTTCTTTTTTTTTTTTTTTGTTCTGCTTTTTAAGTTTAATTTATAGTAATGGATTCAACAACCAAGTCACATGTAACATTTAACAGAATGAAAATCTGTACTGAATGTTTAAGCTGATGTTTCATACCATACTTCCAAATATGAAACGCTTTATTCAATCTGCCTCCAAATTCTACATTCCAGTATCCAACCAATTCAGAGTGAGCTGTCCGAAGATGTACGTTTTTCTTAAAATTTTCCAGAAACTCATTCATCTTTGAAGGCTTAAGGGAATAAGTACGGAATTCATAGAACGTCCCATCATTTTGTCTGGGGCCTGAAGCAAAAGATGAGCACACCTGAAGAAAGATAAAGAAATTTAAATATTTTGGGAAGGTGGGGTTTATAATATGTTACAACCAAATCTGAATTTGGAAACAATGGACACCCATTAGACTTATAATCCATGTTTGTACCTCTGATGTCCTCTCTCCATAAACATTTGTTTAGAGTTATGTCAATAAAGATAACTACTCTTAACTGTGCTGAATATATAGCTACTGTTTCCTAGCAGGGGTCCACCAGAGCCACCTTTTCATGAAAGTTAATCGAAGGCACTGGGGTCTTAATCAGTCCTTTACCCAAGAACTACATTTAGGAGTCTAATAAATTTACAAATGTTTTACCTTATTTAGTCAATATTCTCTTTAGTTGATACGCTATGTTTTATAGTTATGCATTTAAATGAACTTTATAAAATATGCAGGCATGATAAAAATGTGTTTACTAGCAGAAAACTCTAAGTTTTTTTTTTAAAAACGGAAATTGCTATTCAGGTTGAAGTATTTCCCCAAATCCAATGAAGTGGATCACTGGTAAAAAAAAATAAATAAATAAAAATAAATAAATAAATAAATAAATAAATAGGAATGGAATGTAACTAATGTGAAAGGAAGCTATAATCTATCCAATTGCATTATAACATGGTAACAGATGCTATCAGGGAAAAATCAACAGGCCAGAATCGTCTGAATCATTTTCGGTTTAATTACAGATGCATTGTGAGGAAGGGCATTTAATCTATCCATTTATACCAGGTTGATGGAAATATCCTGGAGAACCGGTAGTTCTTTTTGTATTAGTCACTTGCTCACTATATAAATTTTTGTTCTAATTTAGTCCAAGTCTGAGTGAAGTTAATTTTAGGTAGGAAATGCTTTGCTAGAAATTATCCTCTGTGGTTTTTTTATGTGTGTGTATATACACACACACTTATATGACATTTGAGTTTACAAATCCATTTTATTGTAGGTTTGGTTCTCATGTGCCAATTTTCTGAAGGTGATTAATCAGAATTACCTATTAAAAGTTTTGGAACAAACAAAGTTATGAACAAATTTGGGGCTTATATTGGCTATCTGGTATGTCAAATGAAACCAGTAGACTTTTTCCTCTGTCATGTTTTTGGTTAAAACACACACAATTGTCTATGTATTTTATTTAGTTGTGTACAATATCATAATTCTAATTATCTACTTGAGTCCATTCCATTTATGTCTACTAAAGTTATGTCCCTATTGCCAAGCGTCTAAGCTTCCCTGAAAAGCAGGTATTCCCCACCAAAAAACAACTGCAGCTATTCCTACTTTTGCTAGACATGCTTTTTGTGTAATTTTAACTAAATTCTAATAAAAGAATGTGCAAATAAACAACTGCTTAGGATTATAGTTTAAAAAGTACTATAAATAAAATATAGCAGAAAATGGGACCATGAGGGCGTTTGTTAACAACTGCTTTTTAAGTTGCTTTACAGGGAATTTGTATTTGGGAACAAATATGTGGTCAAAGGTACACATTTTTATCTTTTCCAGGAGAAACAGTAACAAAGGAAGCCCAGTGAAAGATTAAACACCAGTGAGGTGTGTGTTTGCTTGGGGGGAGGTGATTTTTGTCACATGCCAGAAAGTAAAATTATGCTGAAAGAGGAATCTTGAGTGATTCAGACTCTCCCTTATGTTCAAGTTAGGGCTCATTTTCCGCAGCAATAACTTCCAGTTCATTTATGATAGAACATCAGGTCGATAGTTAATAAGGTCAAAGTCCAGAATAAAGTTGTAAGGAACAATTGTTGGTCCTGCCCCATTAGAGAATCACAAAGATAAAGACTGCATTGCTAATATTGGGTGACTGGGCCACTAATGGCTCTTCTTTAGTCTTCCCCAGAAAGTCTCTAGCTTAAACACCTGACTATTCTGTCCACAGATAAAAAAGTCTAAACATCGAAAGGAAAAATATGTCTAGTTAGATTTACAGACTAAGCCAATTTCCAACAGTTAAGGCTGAATCGCAAAAATTTATTTTGTACTTCTCCCATGTAAGGTTAAATGAGTTTGTTATCATATTTGCTACGAGGTTCCTGATCCCGCCTGGCTTGGGCACCCAAGGCTGGAGCCAGATGGGCGCATGCGCGGGGAATCAGGTCTGAGCGCGCGAGCCGGGTGGGCGCATGCGGGGGTCCGCGCGCTTCCAGCAAACGCCCCTCCCTCGCCCAGGAAATAGCTCGGGCACATCCCGGCAGCAGCTACCTGAGGCGCAGGCATCCGTGCGGCCAGAGCCCTAGTTAGACCGCTTCGGAGAACAAGCATGGTGAGGCGTGGAGCGCTGAGAAGAGCAGCCCGCCAGTATTCTTCACTAATTACTCTTCTTATGGCTTCGCGACGAGGAAAGAGAAGCGACTGGACAACTGGCAGACGCAGGCTCGGGGCGGGGCTCGGCGGGTATAGCTCCGCCTCCGGTGCCCCGGGGGCGTGGCCGGACCGCCCAGTCCGCTGGAGCCCGCAGCGGTCCCAGCGCTAGGCGCTTTTGGTGTCTGCACGGACGTGTGGGTTCCTCATTGTTTCCTCCAGCTTTCTAACCCCGGAAGTCAGAAGTGACGGTGGAATTAGCTGAATGCTGAGGTTGTTCCTGTACCGACTTTCTGAGCCCATCAACTCAACTCCTATTTGCAGTTTGTGTAATTCGTAAATGGTGGTGTGTAGAGTGCGAGTAGAGTCCACTGAGAAGGAAGTATGGAGGCGTGCGTGTGTAATGCTTTACATTTAAAATCGTGGATTGTTGCCTGGTTGAGTTTTATTCGATATGTACATACAGCTGAAGACCAGGGGGCCTTCATTTTCATGATCAAAAGCACACTCTCCCTATCGCCACTCCCAGCATGACCTTGTATGGTTCCTAATAATGATTTAGATTGTATTTCTCAGGAGCTCAGAGAAATGGAAGCACCAAACTGATGTGAAAGTTAAATGTAAACATACATAGTTTCAAATAAAATAGATTTTTAAGCCTTAAAAGCAAAACAACAGGCCTCTGATGTCTTTCCTATCTCTGATCATTGGTCCCCAGAATTAACTACTTTCAACATTTTTCAGATGTTTCTTCTAATGCTTGTTTGCTTTTTTTTTTTTTTAATTATAGGCATTTTTTTGGTGTTTCTTGATATTTTCAGGTATAGGTATATGTATTGCTTGGAAAATGAGGATTTAGGTCTCTTACATGTCACTCGCCCCAAATACATGTACTTCCCACATCTGATAATGCTTACATTAAGAATAATTAATTATTACATTATTAATTTACATTATATTAAAGTTCACATTTTTCTTACTAATTACATTACATTATTACACACAATAGTTATTGCACACACTAATGTAATATTGCTTACATTATTAAAGCTAGGAAATAATTACAACTATCACCTGTAGTTGTACTGGTTGTGCTTTGCGCAAAGACTTTTGCATTATCTGCTCAGAGGCTTTTTAGAATTAGTTAAGTCCAGAGGGGCTGAATCAGTTTTTCCAGTTGAGCTTCCATTTCTAACCAGGCAAAACAAAACAGCACAAAACAGCATCATCTGTGTCCAGACTGGATCTTTATGCTTAAAATTATTTTCTTAGGCTTTTCCCCACTGGAATTCACAATTCAACCCATATTCACTCATTCAACCCATATTTATTGAATTCCTTCTATGCTTGAGGCACTTTCCCAGAAACTGTGGTACAGAGGTGAACCAAAAACAAAGCCCCTGTCCTCTGGAGACTTACAGGTTAGCGGAAACATTTATACAAATGAAGAGAAAATATATCAGGGATTAATAAACACAATGAGGAAACACAGAGTAGGATATGGAGAATAGAAAGCGCTGGAGGGAGATAGCAGAGAATGCTATTTCCCAAGGTCCATTCTCACTTCCCCCAACCCTCATTTTTAAAATTAATAGAACTCATGCAGTTGATGCATCCATGTGACTAAGTCCTGGCCAGTGAGATGTGTTAGTGTATTTATGACCTGCTGTAAGTGACCTTAAAGTCGAGTTGGAGGGTTTATTCCCCCCTTTGTTCCTTCTTATTTCTGCTTGCTGGAATGTGGACATGTAATGGCTTCAGTTCTTGAATTATGAGGTAGAAGCCACATGCTGAAGATGGCGGAACAACAAGAGAGAAAACGCCTAGGTTTGGACACCGTGGAACATCATACCAGGAGCCCTGGGCTGCCCATCTCTGGGCATCTTTTCCATGAGGAGTCATCTAGCTTAAGTCACTGCTGTTTGGCTCCTAATAGGAGTCTGACCTCTCTCTCTCTCTCTCTCTCTCTCTCTCTCTCTCTCTCTCTCTCTCTCTCTCTCTCTCTCTTGATTTGTGTCTATTGTTTTTCTTATATCTATCATTTATTAATCACTAAATTTTTTGCCAAAAGAACACATTTCTTCTCAATATGATTAAACCCATTAATCAGCTTATCAGTTTCATCTTCTCGAGTTATCTTTCGGAGTCCTTTGTTCTCTCTAGTGTGGACTAGTTCTCTAAGATGGCATGGTAGTAATTCTGGGACCTTCTTTCACTGATTTCTTGCGGAACCTCATTTGCCTTTGTTGGACCTATTTCAAAGATTTTGTTTATATATATTTTTACTCAGTTTTAGGAGAGGGCACGTGGAAATTAGACTTTTGAGATTTGCATCTCTAAAAATGTCTTATTCTACCAACTCTCTTGATTCATGTTTTGGGTGGGTATAAAAATCTACATTGGAAATAATGTTTGCTCATCTTTTAAAAGGCAATTCTCTATTTTATTAAAGCTTTTAGTAAGACAGTCATGCCATTCTGAATCCTGTGTATGTGACTTGTTTCTCTCACTTTGGAACTTTTTATGTTTTTCTCTTTGTCCCTGATGTTCTGAGATTTCACAATAATATTACTTGGAGTAGGTATATACATTTTTTCATCCGTTGTTCCTCACTCAGTTCACCCTCTTAATCTGGACACTTTTCAATCCTGAAAAATTTATTGCATTTCTTGAATTTTTTTTCTTCTCTTGTCGGTCTCTGGAACTCCTGTTATTCAAATATTGTGCCACCACTTGCTCTTGTTATTTTCTTTTCTCTGCTATTTTACATCTCTACCTTTTTGGCCTAGATTTTTTGGGGGTAAAGTCCCCCAGTTGTATCTACTAACTCATGGATTGAATTTTAAACAGAAGTTATTTCCAAGAGCTCCTTCTGTATCCCTTCACCATAATATATCTTTATTTCTCACTCTCTCTTTAGAAATACTATCCTCTTTTTGTTTCATAAGTTCAATATTTGTATCTCTGAGGATATTAATTATAGGTGTTTATTTTTTTAGTTACTATTTTAGGTCTTCTTCCTGCATTTCTGTTTTTTTTTAAAAATGTTTTATTGTGTTTTATATCATTTGATCTGTTTTCTGCCTAGGTATTAGTGTTTTTCCTAAAATATTTTTGTTGTGATACTTAGCCATCATCTCATGTTTTGAAGTGAGAAAAAAATCTCAAAGCTCTGTGAGTATGGGTGGAGCCTGTCGAATAGTGAGCTTCACTGTAGCGTTGTCTGACTGGGCTATTTCACTGAAGGGAAATAGCCCCAGCTGTTATCAATCTGTAAGTCATTTCTCTTAGCCTAGTCAGTTACCTATGTGAGGAAACTTCCAGGGTCACAACAGTGAGTTAGAAGCCTTATTGCCAGTTTTCTGTGACCGAGGAGGGAAGGACGCTGGATATCTCAGTATTTGGTAGGTAGCCACTCACTTAATTTGTGTGTTTATGACTGGTTCTGACCCCTTCAGCTGAACCCGGTATTCATGAACGTGGGTTAGCTTTTTAAGAATACATTAAATAGTATAGGCTAAACTGCTGTAACAAATAGATACCAAAGTGCATAATGTCTCAAACATGTTAGGATTCTCTTTCTTTTTCCTTAAGAATCTAAAATAGGATTTCCTAGTTGGCAGGCAGCTCTTTTATATGTGGTGAATTAAGGACCCCATGGCTTTGCCATCTGTACAGCCCCATCATCAACAGCATCTAGCTAGCAGGTAGAGAGGATTTCTAAGACGAAACTATTTAACAGATAGTGAAGAGTAAAATTCACGACTGCAACTTAGAGAGGGAAAATGTTGCTAAGTGCCACTCGGTCTCTAAGGCAATCTCATGTTCACTTTCTCACAGGTTTTAATTATCCTCAAAACTCTGTGAGTTAAGGGCTGGCCGAGTGGTGCGATGGTTAAGAACTGGCTTGGGATGCCAGAAGGCCCCGGTTCGGATCCCACATATGAGGGCCAGTGACACTGCCCTCCACAGCTAAGATGCTGAACAACAGCTCAACCTGGAGCTGGGCTGCCATGAGTCGCCGGCGACGGCATAGGCTGCAGCCCCTGTGGCAGTGGGTTGCCATGGGCTACTGTGTGTAGCCAGCAGCCTCAGTGAGCGGCCGTCCAGAAGCCGGCGACTGATCTGCCTCACCCGGGAAGAGCGCAATGATGGTGCCAACTTGGGCCAGTGAAGCAACGTCCTCCACAACTAGATTGAAGAACAAAACGACAGCAACTTGTCTGTTCCCCTTCCCCCAATTCCCGAGCACTGTTCCCATCCCCCCAATTTCCCAATAAAAAAAAACTTTAAAAAAAACAAAAAACAAACAAACAAAAAACTCTGTGAGTTAAGCTTTATCTCCAAGTGAGAAAGGTGAAGTTCTGAAAGAGAATTTTCTCAGGTTCACTGCTGCTAAGTGGTACACCGAAGGCTTGAAGTCAGATTGTAAAACCAGTTCTGTTTACGTTTGTTTTTAAAAGATGTGTGATCTTTTATGTAATTTTAGATTTGCAGTGGAAAATTGTGTCTGAACAGCAGTTAAAACAAAATGTTTTTCTGTGTCTTTTAAAAAAAAGTTCCTAAACTGCCTGAAAGATGCACAGAGTAAGCATAGTGAAAATTATTGTTGTATATCCTAAATTTCTGACAACTGATCCAAAGGACAAGTAGTCCAAAGCTAGATAAATCTGGGTTATTAAAATAGGCTAATGTGATATAGAGCAATGGATAGTTATTTTAGACTGGGTGGACTGAGGTTGTCTATTTAAGGAGGTAAGAAGAAACATGTAAGGCAGAGGTTCTCAACCTTCCTAATGCTGCAACCCCCTTAATACAGTTCCTCATGTTGTGGTGACCCCCAACCATAAAATTATTTTTGTTGCTACTCTATAACTGTAATGTTGCTACTGTTATGAATCGTAATGTAAATATCTTTTTGTTTTCCGATGGTCTTAGGAGACCCCTGTTATTAAAAGGTCATTCAACCCTCAAAGGGGTCGTGACCCACAGGTTGAGAACCGCTGATGTAAGGGGAAACCGTTGATATAAGGTTTTGGAAAATCATGTATTTTAAAATCATGATTTTCATTAATACATTTGTCTGCTGTAATGCAGTTTCATTGTATG